TAATTTCATGTAAAAATTTAAATCTACTTCTACAGAGAACTAGGGCTTTGGCATGAACAATTTTGAATTTAGATTGCTTTGAGTATAGGGCATCAACAGCACAAATCTAATGCACAAACATGTCCACTCTTAGACTTCCCAGACCTCAGAAAACATCTTCCTTTTGAGTGTAAGTTTTGCACGTCTGTGATAACTTCTCAAATAGTCTTTAAAGCCATTAGTTTCTATTTCATATTTGTTATAAAACTCTGGCTTTTTATCCTGTAACTGCTTTAGTTAAATGGTTTGTGTGTGAATTCTCATATATATTTCACTTCGAAAGTTAACCTCTTCCCATTTGAGCATGTGTTGTTGTATATGACACACCTGCTCAGATAAAAGCTTGAACTGCCCAGGTGTGGTTGCTGGAAAAACTTGGGTCCTCTAGAAAAGCAAGTACTTTTAACTGCTGAGCCATCTCTCCAGACTGGTGGTATTTTTGTTTTTGTTTTTCAAGACAGGGTTTCTCTGTGTAGCTTTGGAGCCTGTCATGGAACTAGCTCTGTAGACCTGGCAGGCCTCGAACTGAGATCCACATGCCCCTGAGTGCTGGGATTAAAGGCCTGCGCCACCACCATATGGCTGGTGAGATCTTTAATATTAGAAATGTGCAAAAACTTTTCAAACTCATAGGCTACTCTTCAGTCTGCGGGGGTTGGGGGGGAGACATGTACCAAATTCCTGCAGGGTACTCTTGTTTTCTATGTTCACTAATTTCAAACCACTTTAAATACTCTGGGTTTTCTAGGACCACTTATTTTGGCTACAAATCTTCACCTCAGTCTTATTTCAAATTCTTGTGAGTTCTAAGCAAAGTTGACGGTAATGAACTCCTCATTCTATCAAGAATGAGTTTACAGACAACACTTTGGTGTCATGACCATGAAAATTAATCCCTTACCTGAGACTTGAAAGAGCTCAAGCAACTAACCTATCGGTAGGTTTCCTGTTTTTCAGTTTGGTTTTGGCTTGAGAATGCTTCCCATGCCCCGTGGGGTCTTGCTACCTAAACAAAACTGGCTTCCAATTTGTGATGTGCCCTGCCCCAGCCTCCCAATTGCTCAACAAGTGTGCACAATTGACTTTTTAAAATAAGATGACATTTCAGACTTCCACAAAATGTTTTGCAGAATTGCTCAGTTTGCAATCATTCATACTAATAAAATGTAGTCTACCTGACTTCATCTACAGTAGTCTAGAACTGAGACTCTTAAACTGAATCACAAGCCTGTATGTAAACAAATATGAGGACCACAAACAACCAACAGTAAACATTTACGAAAATGCAGCAACTAAAATGTGCAATCCAGGGCCAAGCCTGCAGGAATCCAGGTATTTTTAGCAGTGCTCTGCTGACTGACTTCATTCTTTACATTGGTTCTCTAGAACATAGCAGTAGGCCACAACCAGCAATGATGCTTTTATTGTACATTTTAGTTTGGCACAGTATTACATTTGCATGCCTGTAATCCCAGCACTCAGGAAGCAGAGGCAAGAAAATCACTGCAAGTTTGAGATCAACTTAAGTCCACATAAAGTTCCAGTCCATCTCAGGGAAACAGGAACTCAACATTTTCCTACCACTACTCAGCACATAAGCATCAACTGAGTTTGGTCTAGTATTGAGTGCAAATGTTTCACTTTTATTAATTGCATTTACTTGCTAAGGAAAATTTGGCTTGAGACTATGGAAAAACTTCTAACAAGTTCTGAGCTGATTCTAAATATACTTATGCCATTTTTATTTTGTATTTATGGGTGGTATTCTCATTTCTGATGATCTGAAAAATTAAGTTTCAACTCAACGCTAATAAAAACACTGGAGATGTAATCGCAATATTCAACCAAGATTTCTTATGTAAAATAAACACTCCCACTTCAATATGACTCATCTTCCAAGAACATTTAAAGTGAAATTAAGATAATTCATTTGTAAATGTATATAACCAGAATTAAATTTGGGGGTGAATATAAGCCCTGTAGTGTAGTTGTTAGTTTCAAAAGACCACAAACATAAACGCATCTGTGTTGTTAAACTACCACATACAAAATGCCAGTTTTATCTAAATCCAATACAAGAGTAAGACAAAACTTGCCCTCATGGAGCTTACATTCCAGGGCGGATCCAAACGAGAGTGTTAAGTATGCATTACACACAAAAAAGTGACAGCTGCAATATGCACTCTATATAGTTGATTATATAAAATGTCATTCTAAGTGGCATTAGAAATATGTAGGAAGCCATACAGTATGGTGTAAAACTATCTACACATAGAGGAAACCCATTGTAGCCATGTGTCCTGCAAGCACCTGGGTAAATGAGAATTGTAATGGAGGTGGAGCAAAGGTACAGGTTTTTTTTTTTTAATCACATGACATTAGACTTAATACATTTGGCTTTTACTCAGATTGAAAGCCAGGCTGAGCATGGTGGTACATGACTTTAACCCTGAGAGGCAGGTATATCTTGTACTCAAGGCCAGTCTGATCTACATTAGGTAAATTCCAGGCTACACAGAGACTGTTTCGAAACAGAACAAAACTATGACATGGTACTTCTAACATCTTGCTCAAAATTGTACATGGCTGCTTCATGTTGAGATTAACTGTAATAACCCAAAATCTATATACACACTTCATATGATGGTGTTAGCAGAACGGTTAATGGCAGAACCTAGACAATTCATTGGTTAGAAGGGAAGAGGTCAAGCCATCTGTTGTGGGTCAGTGCACAAGTCTTTTATCTGAAGCTAAGAGGCAGGGCTGTCTCCAGAGAACTTGCAACACTCTATAAAGATTCTAAATAGCCAGATGTGTTAACAGGAGGCTAAGTGATACGATGACATAAAAACAAGTACTTTCATGACCTTGGTACTTATGTTCACAATCCAATTTGGTTATGGTAAATTAGAAATTTAAAAAATTGAAAATTACATAAAAAAACTAGCAGAAACTGTACATGAATTAATCATTACTCTTTAATAAGGCTAAGGTCCAAATAGCAAGAAATAGTTCAAGTAGTGGCCAGATTCCCATTTTCCTTGTCTTAAACACTCTTTATTTTCCTCAATCTGCTTTACAGTACGATTAACCCCTAAACTCAAATGCTTTTACTGTGAGGAGTCAGATAATAGTCAATAATAGATTAACATGTCCTCTACAGCTGCCAAGTTATCTATATAGCTTGTCACAGGTAATCTTCGGTCGTTTTAGATTCACTTGGTCTTCACAAGCTATTGACTGACTCTACATTTCACAGTGGGGGCAGGACCCCTTGGCTTGTATTTTAAAACATCCCAAATGACTGGTTCTCAATCACTTTGAAAACCACCATACTAATCCTTCCTATACCAGTTTCTTTATAATGGCTGCTTCCGTATGTGTTCAAAACTCAAGCTCATATGACATTAAATTCAAGTGTAGACTTCATGTTAACTGGAATTACTGAGTAAGACCAAAGTGTGTTTAAACACAGACTTTAATGGTAACAATTCCTTTAAGCTCAATTAACTTTAGCTATTACAAGTCTTATGCAGATGTCACTATTAGACAACACTTAGTGACTTGCACTGGGTTCCTCATAAAATAGAAGACAAATTCACTTAAAAGTGTAACCAACAGTCATTGAACATTTTATGTCAACATAAAACATGGCTAATTTTAGTACTCCCAACCCCCAAAAATCATGAACACAGCATGATCAGTGTCGTAAGTATACTTCAACTAACCCATTAAAATAAAAAGTGAGTGTTTCACTACCCCTGAGACCACTAGTTAACTGTGGTTCATACTTTTAAATGTGAGTACACCCACACAAGGAAACAAACTAATCGTTTTAAAAAAAAACATCTGATTATCACATTGCAAACCTGCCCAAGAAAAAAAGTCAAAACAAAATTTACTAGTAACAGGCCAACTGGACTACAAAGATAAACTTAAATTCTTAAAAATGTATGCATTAAAAGGTATAGGACAAACGGTCTACACCAATATTCAACCTAATATTCACTTTAGTCCTATACCTGGCACTAGTGATGCCACACACTACTGGGAAGGGTAGAGAGCAAACTCTTGGATTCTTTAGAAAATCTCATCATGGGTGATCTTAAGTCCAGTGTCCATACATTCAGAATGTTGGTTTTCCAGGTACTCTGTTCTCTTAAACCTGGAGAAGCCTCTATGGCTTATTCCCTTAGAAGCGACATATGAAATGTTGTATAAAGCATCAAGTCAAAGATAAAGAGAACTGGACGTACCCATTAGTTTTGACAATCAGTTTAAGGAACTCATCTCTATAAATATCAAGAAAGCCAATCAGGGACCCAATGCTTTATAAAAATGTCTTTGTCTATTTGGCTTACTAAAGCTTTTTGTGTACAAGGGTCTCAAGAAAGGATCATTTTGTAACAGAGCCAAAGAATACTGTTCTTACCCTTGTGGGAACACTTTTTTACAATTTGAACCTCAAAAGTTTTAATTAGCCTGACACCTACACCCTGAAGAACCCACATTTTCAAAAGGTAAAATTAGGGGGTGGAGGGCTCATTGGAAAAAGTGAATAACTGATTTCCAATGTAAATACTTCTTACAGAATAAAGCCAGAACACCTTCAGAAGGCATGCACTTCACTTCCAGTTTAGAGAAGAACCTTAAGTCAACAAATCATGTCCAAATTACATATTTAAATGTTTATAAAAAATTAAGCTTTTACATTTATTTCTAACTTTCCACATCTGTGTGCAGACAAGGAATAAATTTGCATGTAAATATAAGCAGTGCAAATGTGGAAGTGGAGACATATCACATGTGCTAGAAATCAAATACAAGACTTAAGAAATAAAGCAATGAATAAATCAAAGCTAGAAAAAAGTGAAACTACAGGTTCAGAATTAGGGTGAAGAATGGTAATGCCCTTATTACTACAGATTTAGTGGCACAGATAGCACTTGTCAAACAAACAATCCAATAGCATTGACTTTTATTCATTCATGTTGAGTCACCTGAAATGGTATCTGTTGCATTTAAATGCTCATTAATGTAAATGGCTGAACAAATCCATCTCAATGGATAGTCATATCCCACAGTTAAGTCACTTCAACACAGCCTCACGACAACTCCCACACCAAAACAGTACTTTATTTTGTAAATTTTGACCCATTATTACTCCCAAGTTTTATATATATATATATATGTACACACACACACACACATATATATATATATATTTCAGCTGTTAAGTGTACAGATGAAATTTTAGTTAGAAGGGGATGCACCTGGAAAATAAATTTCTTAAACTCCATATACATGTTTCAAACCTGCTGAGTCCCAAGTCCATTTATGAACTCTAGGGCTGCCAGAATCATGTGCAGCACATTAAAGCTACACTATTTGAATAGCTTATAATTCTGCATAAATCAGGTCAAGCAATGTGTCAACCTGTAACAGACTGTGCACTTTAACTGAACATGGCAATATATTCACTCTTTTGAACTTTACATCATCATTTGATGTCAAACAATGAAGCAAATCCCAACAGTATATACAAAAACAGCTTTGCATTTACAAAGGATTGTTTCCCATACTGATTAATCCAGGCAGCTAACTCATTGGTTTATGCAACTTTATTGAAGAAAAATAAATCAATTACTAGGAGAGCTATTAGTTGATCACTCATCCATTGACAACTCGCATCATTTATTCAGTGCTATATTAAACAGTATTGGAAGATAGATTAACTAATAGCTCCAAGCCTCCTAACAATTTAAATGAAAATTACAAAATGTTTTGAGACCCTATTTTGGAATACAAAGGGTGTTTGACTTCCAATTTCCATTCTCTGTAGAACAAGAACAGGTCATTCCTTTATTGACATGCATAAAATACATCACATTTTCTGTTCTGCTGATGCTATAATTCAATACCAATTCTCCAGCCACATCAGTTATGAGCATAAAGTATATCATGTAACCTCAAATCTCTAACAGTGGAAGGCTTAAACAAGAATGGATGCACTAGAATAATGCTGCTTCCTTTGATGTGACAGCTGAGCATCCATCTCCCTCCCCCTCAGATGGTTTCTTCAGCATGTTAGAGCAGTGAGGATTGGTTTAGTCTCATAACCAAGTTAGAGTGAAGACATTGGCCACATAATACACATGCTCCAGTTTTAAAAAAATTTCTGAATCTTGGGCAACTGTTCTCTTGTTAACTACTTTACAGTTTCTAAAAGCAGTTATTGTCCAAAGCTGGAAGAACTTAAGTCTTCTCAGATGAGCATGTGAATGAATGGAGGGAGGTAAACAAAAAATAAAATTAAAAAAGATGAGGTCTGATAGGGGAGCAGCCGGATAAGAAAATCAAAAAAGGAACAGTAATTTAAAGTTTATTCCAGCTATAATGCAGGTTATTCTGACTTTAAGGTAGCATCACATGGCATACTTCTGAGTCCATTCCCGAGATATTCTGTTGTACCTGTAAATAAAACAAATAAGGTATTTAAAAAATAAAATTGAAAGAATTATTATTGTAAAAGACAAGGAAAATGTCTTTATGTTACCTGTGATTTATCATGACACCTGTAATGGCTATTGTAGAACAAAAGTCAAGAGACAGAAACAGAAGCAGTGGCATTCAAAGCAGTGTGGGAGATGACATTAGTGGTCTCCTAATAAAAGTGGGGCTTTTTAGACGGACTTAACAAAGACCTTCCCATCAGTGAGGTAGTACTCTATCAAACTTTCAAGTTGGTTGTACATGCTGATAAAATTTTAATTAAAAAAAAACAAACACTATAGTTTACTACTGTCAGAATATTATGTATACACGTTACATATCAATAGAAATTTTGGCCAATGCCAGAACAATGCACACACTGTTACTGCAAAATGAATCTGAAACCTAAATTGAGAAGTTAGTTGGGTAGTATAAAGAAAGTGCCTTTGAAATGTGAAGACATTGGAAAGGGTAATAAAAACAGTACTTTTCAAGACACAAGCTTCAGTGGTTGTTATCTTAAATAAATAAAAGTGTAGAAGTGACTGCTGGTAACCCCCACTAAAACCTCCTAAGAATGGACTCTCTAGTAGTGCAACCCATTTTTGTTAAAAAAAAAAAAATCAACATCAGTGAGCTAGGTTATCATTTCAACCCTACAATACAATCATAGTCTATTTACCAACAAAAAAAGTGACAAAGGCTTAAGAAGTGAGTATATAACAAAGAACAGTGGAAAACTTAACAATATTACTAGTTTTATCTCAAACCAAGTACATACAGCTCAACTATTTTCCTATAACTCAACATATAAAAAACTTTTCTAGCAATTCAGAGTTATTATTTAGAAAACCTTCTTCAAACAGCCAACACTTTAAACAAACGATTTAGCATACAAAAAGAGCCACAAAATATAGCTAACATTAATTCATGCTTGTCAGTAATGAACTTTTAGTTTGGATGCTGAGGTTTAAGTGTTTTCTATTACTACTACCTTCCTGGGAAAATCTGAGTAAAACCACCACATTCCATAGTACTGACACCCAAGTCTATAAACACCATGGTAATCTAATAAAGAATAAAGATACTCTTACATTTCTACGTCTTACTAAAGCTATATAACTGCTTTGTCATGCAAGAATAACCTCAAGCAGTAATGAAGACTGAGTATATACTTCCACACTAACAGATCAAGCAGTTAAAATAGTTTTCAGAAAGCTGCCATGTCTGTTACCTTCGGTTAGTTAATCCAGTGCTTTAAAGCATGCAGCACTCAAGTGCTGGCAGTACCATAAATGAGCGCACCATAGAGTGCAGATCCTCTTACCCTACAACATAGCGTATTTCTCTGTCCACTCTCTTGCTAACCTATTGTACCTAATTGAACAAGCACACTTAGCATTAATCATAACATACGAAAGTTAAATGGTTAAGTTGAACATAAAGATAATTCAAATATTTGATAGATTTAGACCAAAAATTGTACATTAGTACCAATTTTTTTGAAACATTGAAGAAAAAGTGCTTTTATTACCCCAAACTCAGTAATTACGCAAGTGTTTAAAACATTAGAAAAGTAACATCTCAAAGGAGCTATTCACTGTCATATATGCTAAGACCACTTATTTATTTGGCAGGGTCTCATTAGATAGCCCAGGCTAGCTTCAAACTTCTAAATATTCCAGCCTCAGCCATTATTCTGGACCTTACTGTTTTTTCTCAATTGTGTTTTAGTAACTACCTTACCAGAAACAAACACAAAAAAGGTCCTGTCACAAATTCCAGCAGAAATAAGCCCAACTTGTTAAACAAATCCACTGTTTACAGTCATTAAAAAACAATTTCATACTTACTTATCTCTGTCTGTTTTATAGATCCGTGCAATCTCTGGCACTAGGGGGTCATCTGGGTTTGGATCACATAGCAGTGAACAAATGGATAAAAGAACTACAAAAAGAAAAAAAAAAAGGTTATGCAGTTTCAGGAGTATGGATACGCAAACATTATTGGCACAAAGTCAGTAATGATTAGACCAAGCATGTTTTTTTTCAAGATAGTAGTTTAAAAAAACAAAAATGTAAGGAGAGTCAATGTAAGGAGAGCCAATATTTAAGATTTTTCTTGGTATTTTGAGGGAACACAAAACTGGTGAAAATAGTGTATTCCTGTAATGTAGGGAGCCTTCAGTTCTAACTCTTAAATCTGGTCTGTTCTACAGACTTACAAAATGCCAAGTGTCATGATACAAATTTTTTTTAGTGCTTGTTATGTTCTAGTCACATGTATTATCAACACAGGTTATTATATATAAATGCATGAAGTGGTTTAAACAACCACTGGATAAAGATAAATAAAAAACAGCTTAAGACAGTCAACTGTCATATAAGCCAAATATAAAAATGGTCACAGCAGCAAATACAATTCCAAACTCAATTCAAATGAATGGTTATTAAAAAAAATTGTAAAATACAGCAACTCAGAAAAAGGTCAGTTTCTAATTCTGACTCGTTAGCTTATTGTCAAAATACCAAGTAACCTTTAAAAACAAAACACCCATTAACTCGGTCTGCATTTGAAGAAATACAATTCAGATTATGGTACATCCCAGCAGGGGAAACAAAACAATAGGAAACTGGCTATCTAGATTATGAGAGAAACACTATTTGAAAAGAGACTTAAATTTTAGGTTAAAAAACTAGTCTAAAAGAAAAACAAATATGCTGGGTAGACCTCTGAGTTTGAGGCCAGCCTGGTCTACAAAGTGAGTTCGAGAACAGCCACAAATGTTTACACAGAGAAACCCTCTCAAAAAAACAAAATCCAAACAACAAAAACAAGAAAGTTAGAAAATACTGCAAAATTCCTTTTGAGTCAAATGCAGCATTTTAATAAGCATATGAAGAAATGTGTGACGTACTGCCTGTAAACAAAACATACCTGCTTCACTTTCCATTTACTCACACATTTTGGCAAAGAACAAACATTATTTCAAGTTTTAGAAATGATGCATTTCAGCAGTCTGAAAATATTAATGTTTAATACAGAGGTTCTAACATCAAATTATAATTACTAGCATTAAAAACTCAATATTAAGTTAATACCCAAGCCTGTGTCATCATTAAAACATTTTTTGTGTACAATTTAAATTGCAGAGTGAATGTCAAAAACCACTTGTCATTTAGAAGCCAGCAGCTGAAGAGGAAGAACTATCTAAAGAGGAAGAACTATCTCCATTTGGGGTATTATCCCTAGGGATGTGAGAACTTGACAGGCACAACACACTTGTATCTACAGTAGACCAGACTTCGTATAGCAATCTTCCCCAAATTCCCTACTTATAATCATTAGACACAAAGCAACTATGACAGTTAAGCAACACCCAACTAAAAGTTACCTTCAAGCATAGGTACAGAAAATCTACACCAGATGTTTGCCAGAGCAGGAAGCTTTAAAAAGATTTAAAAAGCTGTATCTTGTCTGGCTATATTCTCCCATCCTTGCTAAAAGGGGGTTAACAGGGGCAATTAAGAGCACATAACACCCTTATGGAGGACAGTTTGGGTTTGGTGTCTCACAGCTGCCTGTTAACTAATACAACTACTCAGATCTGGCATTCTCTTCCTGACTCCAAGATCACCTACATTCATGTGCACATCACCACCACACACCCACAATTAAATAGTTTAGTAACAGAAGAACAAAAGTTTGTTAAAATTAATTTGAGGGCTGAGGCATTGCTCAGTAGTTAAGAGCGCTGGATGAACAAGCATGAAGACCCGATTTCAAATTCCCAGCATTCGTGAACAAAGCTGGGAATAGCTACTTCTGTATGTGTGTACCCCAGCATTGGTGGGTGGAGACAGGTAGACACATTGAGTTACTGTGAACTTTTGGTTGAATGACAGAACCTGTCTCAATGAAATCAAAGTAGAAAAAGAGAAGACACCTTTGGCTTCTATATGCTCCATTAACACACTAAAACTAAACTTTGCTATTATGTGAAAACTTATTAGGCAAATAAATGCCCTCCTCCTAACATACAGTTTTAACTACTCTGACAAATACCCTTAAAATCTTGAGTGATCAAAGTAAAAACACCAAAACCACCCACCCCCACCAATTTGGTTTTCTAAGCTACTCTATCAGTCTGGTCTCAAATTCCATGTGGCCAAGGATGACCTCTGATTTCAGATTCTCCCGCCCCAATCCCCAAAAGCACTATTGTTTTAGGCATGTGCCACATCTGGTTTATGAAGTACTAGGGAAAATCATGTGGTGAGCTTTGTGCATTCGGGAGGCAAGTGCTCTGTACCAACTAAAGCTGTATCACCAGCCCTACAAGTGACTTTTTATTAAAATGTTGGCATAAGAGAAAATTTTATCCAAGCAGATTCAAGGATAAACCCCTTAACTGTTAGAAAACCAAGAGCTGAAAACTACTCCAGTGAAACTATTATTTTTACCTTTAGAAATAGTTAAAGCAGGAGACCACTGTGATCTTAGAATATCAAGACAAATGCTGCCATTACTGTTAATATTTGGATGATAAATTCTTGTTGTAAATGCAACCTAAAACACAAAGCACACAGCACAACCTTTAGATAGTTTTTCCAAATAAAACAAGTACTTCAAACTTTAAGTCACACCAGTGGAAGTGGTGATGGAAGAACATGAGGGAAAGGGAGAATGTGATCAAAGTACATTAGATGCATAAATGAAAATCTCTTAACAAAACCAATCATTTTAGATAATAAAAGCAAATTTAAAAAGTCAGCCTAAACGGCGGACATGGGTGTTGGTCCAGCCATTAACTTAGATCTGAAGGTTAACTCTGGGTACTGTATTTTAACTATCAAAAGGCAACCTGGGGAAGGGTATTTAGAATATTCAAATTATATAGGTACATATTCAAATTGTATGTCCACTACAGATAAAACAAATTAAAGGGTATAAGCTTTATATCCAAAGGAACTATATTACATTGCACCTTTAACATGACAAAAGATGACTAGAAAAATATAGTTTAATGCAAATTATTTTCTACTTATTCACATGGCATGAATTTAATAGTTCTGGAAAGTCAATGACAATACTCTGAACTCATTACTCTCCTGCTTCAGGCTACAGAGTACCAGGACCAGAGGTGTTTTAATACTATAAACCAGTCACCCTAGGTGCATTAAGCAACTGTAACAAATTTTGCTAACATACTTTAGGCAAATTGATTCTATAGTTTACATTCCACTTAAGCACAGAAACACTTGAGCCTTGCAACTTCAAAAAAGCAAATCTTACCTATATTTACAGATTTCAAGTCTGTGTTAGTAATAGCTTAGTATGGTGGCACACTCTTAAGCTTACCCTTAGAAAGTGGTTAGAAAAATTCTTGAATAGTCTAAATGCAGCTTAATTCGATGTGTTATTTTTATTCAACAATATACAAAGCCTCAATTACACAGAAACCTAAATTTCTATGAACATTCTATTCTTCTGAAACAAGCCATAAGCTAACATTTCTGAGGGATAATACTTGCCTTAGGTGGTTTGAAGGGGTAGTCTGTAGGAAAATGAATTGTCAAAAAGAATACACCACCTTGATATGGGCTGTCATTCTGTGAAGAGAAAAATAGGCTTAATATGTCAAGGTAATTCCTTTTAAAGTCCATTTTTCTAATGAACCAAAATCATCTGCTGTTTACAACACTGCAATGAAGAAACAAATTATTGTACCCTCCAATTCGGTTCATACTAATGGAGAAACAAAGCTGACTTATAAAGTAATGAACCTAATTTACACAGACTTAAAAGTAGGCAAAGGCTTTGTCCATGCTAAGCAGGCAGTCACTCTACTTCCAAGCCCTTATACTATTTTTGTTTTCTCAGTCAAGATCTTGTTACCCAGGCTGACCTGCCTTATCCTTCACAAGTACAGGCATTATAGATAGATTCCACCAGTGCTCTCTGCAAAATGCTCACCAAAAAAACTAAGCCCACCCAAGACAGCAAAACAAACTGAATGAAAAAAAAATTAAGGTACCCAAAATATGACATCATGTGAGTTTATGAGATGTGATGGACTGGTGGGTGAGATGGTTCAGTTGGTAAAGGCTGTCTACCACCACACCAGATGACCTGAGTTCAATCCCTGGAACCCCATGGAAGGAATGGTTCAAAGAGAACACTGACTTCTACAGGCTGTCCTCTAACTTTCACATAGACAACACGTCACACCCACATGTATGTGACACACTCACACAATATGCTGAATATAAATTAATCTTAAAAAAGATCCCTGCTAAAATTTAGACAAAGCCAAACATTAGAAAGGAAAAAAAAAAAAAAAAAAAAAACCAAGTATTTCAACGATACACTAAGATTCCACCCTATCAAGACAAAAACCCAAATCAAAGGAACAAAAAATGACTTTCGAGATTGACTTCAACCTTTGAAATTGAGAATTAACAGATTCTTTATAACCTTTCTACTTTGTTTCTTTTGCTCCCTCAAGTATTTGTTCTCCAAGGAGTCACGAAATTTTGCATGTGTCTGAAGATCCATTTTCTGCTTCTAACCTCTGAACTCACATCTCTTTACAGTCTGTTTTTTTCTATAGTGTGTTCAGTAACTCCTGGGCACATTTCCAAGCCTACTATATATATTTATCTATTTCATGACATGCATTCTAATCCTCAACCCCATTCTTCCTAAACCATAAGAGTAGAAAACCAGGATCTCATAGATAATTCTTACACTCATTTCATTTATACTCTTAAATAACTTGAAGATTGTCAGATATAGTGGTTTATGCATGTCATCTCCATACTTGGAGGGCTGAGGCAGGAGCGTTGCTATGAGTATGAAGTGCTAAGTTCTAGCCAGCCTTAAAAATTTCTTGAATTAGCCACTTCATTTTTGACTAGTGCAGCCAAAGTTTTAGCTCAAAGTGTTACTATCTCTTGTCTACATATTTTTAATGTAGCTTCCTTTCACTTTAGCTTTACCTTCTAGTTTATTCCTATACTCCAATATCAAAAAGACCTTTTAAAAAGATACCACCTTTATGCTCTGCTTTTAAGTATTCTCTACAGTACAGTGTCATTAAGAGTATAACTCTCACGCTCCTTCCTTCCTCTATTTGTAACATGTCTTATACAACCCTTCCTCATGGAGTCCAATTTGCTGATTGCCTCTCCATTAATCACCTTTATGCATTAGTTAATGTACCATTTCAATAATTTACGCATACTTCCCTCTTCTGCTGAACCACTAAGTTCTTTTTAAAAATTTACTTATTTAACTTTATGTGTATTGGTGTCAGATTCCCTGGAACTGGAGTTACAGACAGTTGTGAGTTGCCGTGTGGGTGCTGACAATTGAACCTGGGTCTCTGAAGAGCAGCCAGAGCTCTCAACCACTGAGCCATCTCTCCAGCCCCTCACAAAGCTCTTTAAAAGAAAAGGAAGGTTCTATAGATCATTAACTATGATAGTATGAAATGATATATGTGAAGTTGGAACAATAACCCTTATGAACTGATTTCCTTCATAGTTATCATGCTCAGTCCACCACTGACAATACAGCACTCTCTCTTCAACAGTTAGGCCACATACCAAGGTGGAAGTTGTTTCCAAATCCTTTTTTTGCCAACTACATTTCAAATTAAAAAAAAAAAATTAAGCACATGAGTATCAAAAATAACAGATAAGAACTTACTTCTTCTGATGGAATGAAACACAACTGGGACTACTGTTAATATAGTGCAACGACCCTCTTTTCCACACAAATTAGATAACTAAACTAGCAATCTTCCAATCTTTTTGGTTCCAAATTATCTTCAGGAAGAATAAGCCAGTATGCACCATAGTAACTTCAAATGTTTGTGTGTAAATTTCAATGATCCAGAGGTATTTCTTGAGTATAACTCACTACAAGTTCCTCTTTACTGAAACATAAGTGAAATACTCCAAAGGAAAATATTTTCTTACTATCCAGATGTCCTGGGCAATCTGCAACTTAAACGGATTTGACATTATCACTGCCTCATTGTTTCAGTTTACAAATGCAGACACACACACACACACACACACACACACACACACACACACTCTCACTCAACTGAGAAAAACAAAAAGCACTTTCAAATAAAAACAGAAGACCAACAAAAAGTCCTATGGCCTCTTTGTAGTTAAATCAACATTATTCCAAACTTAATACAAGCCTGGTCCCCTAATTAGTCTACTTTTAATTTTAACATTTCACATTTACTCTAGAATTCCCAACATCCCAGTCATGAGTTTCTCCTACTAGGTACTTTTTTACTCAAGTATCTTAGTATATTCTAACATGTTTCAATTATCTGCTTTCTCTTATTTTAAGTCCCTAAAGACAAATAGGGACTACAGTTTATTCATACTTTTAACTGCTCAACACAGCAGGTGCTCACATTCACCAAGGTAGAAAATGACTAAGGTTATTAAAATAAGACCAATAGATGACTCATGCCTGAGGTATGAAAGTTGCTGGAAATTTGAGGACACCATGGATTACAACATTAAGACTATCTAAAACAAAACAAACCACAAATAAGCCAATAACCTTAAAAATCAAGAATCTGAGCTAGATGTGAAGGCTCAATCCTGCAATATGGGTAACTCAGCAGGAATGTAAGACCAGCCCCAGACTAGCTCAAAAAAAAAAAAAAAAAAAAAAAAAAGCCAGTCCTGGGCCTATGAAATGGCTCAGAGAGCGGGGGTACTTGCCACTAAGTTTGACACCTGAGTCCAATCCCTGAGATCTACATGGAAGTAGAGTGCTGCCTTCTCCCAGTGGTCCTTTGATCTGTGTGCACATGCACAATAATAAATACACTCAATCAGGCTTTTTTTAAAAAAGTAAATCCAGCCGGGCACTGGTGGCACACACCTTTAGTCCCAGCACTAGGGAGGCATAGGCAGGCAGATCTCTGAGTTCGAGACCAGCCTGGCTTCCAAGGCCACAGAGAAACCCTGTCTCGAAGCCCACCCCCTCCCAAATCCAAACCTGGAAAGTACAGCTGGTCTAACCCATCTATTTACTAGGTGAAATTCTTTCAAAGACACTTTCTTTACAATTATCAATATGTACCTACTGTTGTGGAATATTATTTTAACCAGGAAAAGATGTCTTACATTTGTTTATGCTGCAGAACATTACTTTAACTGTGTTAAGTGTTACTGTTTCACTTTGCCTTCCTAATGCACCTGACTTGTCTAATAAAAAGCTGAACAGCCAATAGCAAGGCAGAGAAATAGGCAGGTAGGGCTGATGGACAGAGAGAACAGGAGAAATCTAGGCTTCAGAGTAATGAGAGGAGGAGGAGAGAACGAGGGACATACCCAGGGCAAGAAGCCAGGCAGCAGCCAGTCAGACATGGGAAGTAATAAATGTTAAGATACACAGAAAGAAAAGTAAAAAGCCCAGGGGGAAAAGGTAGATAAAAAAGAAAATAGGTTAATTTAAGTTAAAAGAGATAACCAGAAATGAGCGTACGTTAGGTTTATCACTCAAAACTAGTTAAGTCTTTGTCACGACTGGGAGCTGGCTGGTGCCCCGCCCCCACCAAAAGCATGGTACACCCTAATTTTTTGCTACTCAAAACCACATTATTGCACAGTAATGTATTTACATTACTGCCAAAAAAGAAAAAAATTCAGTAAGATACACATGTTAAGAGACCCTCAAATACCCCAATCACCAGCCCCCCAGCATGTGTGTTTGAGAGCAAGCATAACAAAAGATAATTAAGCTAGATTCATTCTTGGTAGTTTCAATGCTTTGAATAACCCATGGTACAATAAAATGCCCCCTTAACGGGAAGCTTAATGACTGTTTTTCACTGTCTTACAGAAAACTAAGACAAAGGCAATACAAGATATTTGGTGGGTTCAGAGATGGTACTACAGAATATAATCACAGATATATACATTTAAGGAATTTATTTTAAAGCGGTGTTAACTATGATGTACTAGAAATACAATAACTAATTTATCAAGGCCAAAAATCTAAAATAAAATTGTGATAAAGTGAATGCTGATTTTGAGTGAAAAGTAAAATTAAAAAATAGTACTTACAGGTCCCATAATTGTGGCTTGCCAATGAAACACTAGAAAGAGGAGGAAAAAAAAAACAAAAAACCTCGTTATCCCCAAAAACATGCAGCCTTTCCTGAAGTTAGATTAGAAAGAAAATCAAGTTACTTACTGTCATCTCCAACTGGACCTGCAGAACATTGTGCTGGAGGGTCACGGGCCAAATCACTAAGTTCCTAAATCAAGACAGAAGATGGTAGCTTATATTAGTCTAAATTTAAGAAAAGACTTGAGTTAATAATGAACTTTTTTTTTCCTTTAAAGGGACATGCAATCATGGCAAAAATAAATAAATCCTATTAGCCAAGAGAAACCTTAAGTAATCTTAAATCCACCTCCTAGAATGCTAACCATCACAAATAATTCCTATTAGCCAAGAGAGAAACCTTAAGTAATCTTAAATCCACCTCCTAGAATGCTAACCATCACTGGCTCTACCAGACACATGCTGAATCAATCATCTTGGCTAGGGTTTATAGTAATATATACACACCATTAAATTTTTATTTTAGGAACAAAAGTTGACTTCTAAACAAAATATAGTAGCAGATGCCTTCAAAGGTTTAAAAACTTAGGTAAGGCCAAGATCAACATGTCATTTGATGAACTAACTTTCTAGACCATTCTCAGATGCTCCCTGTTGTTTCAAATTCCCTTTCTTCCCAAAAATCTGACCCTATTTTCCTAGTGAAACACCTAATATGGCTACATGCCCTTTAATCTTTAAGTTTCCTGACTAATGTAACCTATTAGCTCAGTGCTCATTTTTTAAGCTATCCTTAAAATTCAAATGTAGGGGACTCAACTTTTCTATGTAGAAAGATGCAATCTTCACAATTTCATGAATACATCTAACATACATATGTATCTCTTCAATAACCTGCATGCACACAATAGTACTTTTCATAAACGTAGTTTCCATTATTAGACTTATGAAAACCCGTGATGATATAGCTCTACCTTACTACTGTTTTATCATTAAAAATTATCAGGTAGATTAAATTCAACCTAATGTTAATATATTGCTGCTTTCAACGCTTTATCTCTATGTCCCAAGTCAACAACAACCACCTCCTTTCAATACCCTTCTCCAGGTGAATACAGGGGTAGCTCAAGTTCTTTATACCTACCATACCAAAATATGGAGGAAGAAAAAAAAAAGGGGGGGGGGGAAGGCAGCGGCAGATTCATACTGTTACAAAAGACCACGCACTAAAAATCAGTGCTGGTCTAACTGCTCATGCATGTCATCAGTTGCTACATTTCCATCTACAACAGTTTTGCTTACTTTGTGCTCAATCTACTAACGTAGATTAGCTAGTCATAGGACCCTCTCTCCTTCCAAGTAGCCCAATATATATCAACATGTTTTGCTCAATTCCCGATTTTAAAAGACAATAAAGGATTACTTGGCCAATACCAACAATGAATCACATCAACTCATTTAAATGAACACACTAATCTCTCTTCTCAATGAAATGATTTACTCAACAATTCATAAGGTACAGAATATTGTGAGTAAGCGCCCCTCAAGAATAGAACGAAAAGAAAAATTTCCAATTAAACTCTACAAAATAACTGCCCTGGACAAAGAACCTTAACAGCTCTTATTAAGTGCATATAAATGTGGAAAACAATACTGCCATTGTACAGTAACAAATTCAAGAAACTAGTAAAAACAAAGCAGTTTTAATGTATTTTGTAGAAAGGGATGCCAGCAAAGAGAAAAGGCAGAAATGACTATAGTGTTGACCTGACCCAACACAATGTTTTTAAACCCCTGCCCTTTTTCCCCCCCACAGGCTGGAAATCCACTCTACACCCACCTCCACAATCTATTGCCTTAGGAAGCAAAACCTTATTTAATGACCAAGTTTAGGCTTGAGACCGCCCCCATTTTCTGATCACAGTTTCACTCAAAGCAGACTGCCTGTTAGCTTTCCAACTCAGTTTTAAGACAAGCAGGCAGCAGCTTGCCATCGAGGAGAGGAATGGGCTAGAGAATCCTCTGCAACTAGTAAAGTATACCTCATGCTGAAAATGTATCCCATTTCTTATGTAACAAGCAATATGATCATCACAGAAGAGCAACAAACTAACACACCTCATTCTGTTCAGTATTCTAGTTTCCCTATAAGACTAGGCCTCAAGTTTGGACCTCTACCCACCACTCCTTAAGGTATTAACTGAATTAAATATGCCAGAATCAACAGGCACAATGGTGCACACCTTTAATCCTAGCATTCAGGAGGCAGAGGCAGGCAGATCTCAGAATCTGAAGGCCAGTCTGGGATCCATTGTCTAAGAAAACACAAGAATGTCAGAATGGGTATAAAGGACCTTTACTTTGCATACTTAATTAGCAGATGCTGCCCTGGCCCTGGTTTCATTTATTAAAAGGCATATGCAGTGAAGAGAAGTCTCACTTTAACATACTATTATCTCTAAGATTGGCCTCACTTGCTGATTCTTCAGACAAACACCTCCTCCTCCCTTTTAAAGAACTGCATTCAAGGCTTGATGAGGAGAACCTTACTAACCAACCCCTCCAACCTATGTGAATAGAAATAACACTGGCTGTTTCTGCTGGCTGCATGGCATGTACCAACTAGGTATGCTATGGCAATGGCCTCTGGATTAAGAAATTAGCAATGTGATGTGTAAATCAGGAGTGGGTTTAAGGCTTAAGAGTCAAAGCTCTTGGATGACACTATGGCACAATTTTACTTCTTTTCCTAACACCAGTGGTTCTGTATCTTTAACCGTTAAGATTTTTTTTTTTAACAATATGAAAAACTAATGGCTGACACAAACATTAGCACAATGAGAGCCTCACAAATGCAAATAACTTAATGCCAGATTTGTTATTAGAGGGACTAAAAATAAGGCTTTTTTTCTTTTGCAGTCCTGGAGACCGAGTGTGTGCTGCTTCACACACTCAAGGTAAACTCTTTTAGAACAATACCGTGGGTTATATATATTCCTAACTCAAACACAAAACTTTCCCCAGACCATTCAGCAGAGTACAAAACGCCTGCTGTATTCTGTGCATTTCTGTGTGCCTGCATGAGCCTAGGTACGTTCCATTCTAGGTGTTCACAGAAGCAGAAGGCATCAGATTCCCTGAAATTGCAATTACAGGCTGTTGTGAGCCACCTAATATAGGGGTTAGGGTTGGCTAGAAATGGAACCTACGTCTTGCAAGTGCTCTTAAGAGCTAAGCCATCTGTAGCCCCGCCAAATACTCTTAAATGAAGGAATTTCAGAAGCAGCTTTGGAGGCTGTCCTGGACCAGGCTAGAGATTGCCTGCCTCTGCCTCCCAGGTGTTGGGATTTAAGGCGTGCGCCACCACCACTACCCAGCCAGAAGCACGCTTTTGAACTGTTGTGCTTTATTCTAACAAAAATGCTAAAAGGCTTGGAGAGATGGCTCAGCAGTCAAGAGCACTGGCTGTTCTTATAGAGAACCCAGATTCAATTCTAGCACTTGACACCCTCTTCAGGCACCTACATATATGGTGTTCACACATAAACACACACAATTCTTAAAATGGTTGTCAAAAATTTACAAAAAAAAATACACCTAGCAATACATTCTCCATCCTAATCCTGGGTAAAATACAAACTCTCCCACCAAAACTCTGCAACTAACCTTTTTTTATTTGGTTTATTGCTTCAGTGTTTCAAGGGCTTATGCATAAAGTGACAAAGTCCCATTCTAGCATGGACTTAGGCCCTCTAAATTGTTTTTTTTTTTTTTTCCAGAGGCCATTGGAAATCTTTAAAGTCACTCAATTGGTGCATAGAAATGTTCAGTTTTGAATAAAATGAAATCATTTATGTGCATGTGTGCTCATGTGTACTCACAGGCATACAGGACCCTAGTTTTGTGAGCCCCCATGTGGATACTGGGAGGCAAAATTCTGCATGAGCAGTAAGTACTCTCTTAAACCACTGAGCACCTCCTCCAGCTTCCACAGTGGTAACTAACTGCTCTAACTATATTTTGGGAAAGCAACAACAAAAGGAAAGCTTTCTTTTCCAGTATTACCCAGATTGGTCTCATCATGAGTTCAACTAATTCTTTATCTCAGCATCCTGAATAGTCACAACTACAGTTGTGAGCCCAGTTAAAAAGGTTGTCCTGGAACTCAGATCCACCTGCCTCTGCCTCCCAAAGTGCTGGAATTAAAGGTATGCACCACCACTGTCAGGCAAAACTAGGTTTTAAATACAGCTTTTTAATAATGCCACTAAAATGTCTCCAATTTACCTTTTAATAAAGGTTTCTTTAAAAATTATAATACTAAGCAATACTTGGGTGTGGTGGCACACACTTGTGACCTCAGTATTAAGGCTGAAGCACGAATACCACTGGGAGTTGAAAGGAAGCACAGGACTGTATCAAGATGGGATTCAAAAATGGGTAACTCAACAATCTTTGTACACTGACTCATGCAATCACTTAAGTAAACTGGTTAACACGTCAGTGAATTATGCAGCTAGATAGATCCTACCTAGTTCAATTAATCAGGATATGAAAAAAAATCTAGGTTGAGGAGGACAGCCCAGAAACAAATTACCAAATATTTATAGACATTAGGATTGGTTTTGTATACTCTGATAAAAGTCCTAAGAATACATTTTGAAATAACTCAACATTAAGGAGGGATCAGGTACCCTGAAAGTGACTTAAGAACTTCAAAAATGGTAGTAAACAATGGATTCTTAATGCCAACTAAGTAAATTAAGTAAAACCTGACCACATCAAACACTGTAAAAACAGTCAAATATCCAACTGCTCAGGAATAACCAATCTAAGATTTAGCTACATTAAAAAGTCAATATAATAGACAAAATAGTCCTGATACCATCTTGCCATTTTTGCTTCTGAAAGACAGGGCCAGGTGCTTAGTTAACCAAAGAGCAAAAAGATCTATCTACAATCTTGATCAACCCTTTCCATGCTTTGCCATCAGCACATACCACCCTATTTTCAACATATTCAATAGGAAAAAAATTCACCTTAAAGACTTAAACCTCTGACCAGTTTTACTAAAATACTGTATTAGGAAAAACAACAACAAAAAAGAAACAAGGGGCTGGAGAGGTGGCCCCAGTAGTTCCCAGCACCACCTACCAGGCAGCTAGCTCACAACTACCTCACTAACACCAG